CAGGAGGGGGAAGGCCCTCTATGAGGTGGATTGATTCAGTGACTGGGGTGATCAGGATGGGTGTATCGGAGACAGTGCGATTGGCATAGGACAGAGCAGAGTTTAGAGCTGTTGTACATAGGGTCGCTATGAGTCGCAAGCGACTCGACGGCACATAGCAACAACAACATCATGATATTACAGCAAGATCTTTGGCTATTTTGTTATGTTTTTGTGTGCGATATAGTCAGAATGGATCCATAGCAGAACCTCCAGTTTTCTGAGGCAGTAAATCACACGGGAGGAGATTGCCCATTCTTCTCCTATGGAGCAGATGGTGAATTTGAACTGTGTACCTTTGGGATTATAGTGCAGCTTCTTACCACTCAGGCACCAGAGCCCACTTTTTAGGTTAGTCTTTCTCGTTCTTTAAGCATGGATGAAATAGAGAAAGTATCTTTTTTCTCATCTTCCTTTTTCTCTTCTTAACATTAGTCCGAGGGCATAATTAACTTGCTGCAGCCTTGATCTTGTCTGCATAACTAATCTGCATAACTCTGCCAGTAAACTAGTTTCTCCCATCAGGCTCCTGAAAGGCTGACTATACCTTTTCCAAGCTTTTCGTGTCTGGCCTTCCACTTGTCAGTTTTCCTGTTGTAGTTACTGTGATGAATCATCCAACTTGGACAAATTGGGACCTGAACCTTTTTTGCTTAGTTGGCCATGACAGTAGGCCGAGCCCTCCATCATAGAGAACAGGAGGGGTTATCTGTAAGTCGAAGGTCTGCTGTGTTAAAGGAGTCTTTAGTTTTCCAAGCATATTAAAATGATTCAGACTTTAAGGTTCTAGTTTCTTCAGTCTACAAGGAATAAGACAAATAAGAATTTGGGGAACATAGACTATCATACCTAATAGTCTGTTTATCAGTTAATAGTTGTGTTAATTTTGTTTTAGCATCTACTCTCAGTCACTCATGCTGTCGAATCAGAGTGACTCGTGCAGCAGATGATTCTGAAATATAAATTTAAATCAACTTCAGCCTTCCCAAGTTTTTTATCATTTAGGCCAATGACTTGAACGGAAGGAAAAAGAATGATGATTGGGAGAAGCAGAGGGAAAGCTGTGCAGCCTTCCTTAGGTGGTGGAGGCAGACGGAGGCAAGTTTTTGCTTTGTGCATTTTGGAAGCCGCCTCTACCATCTGTTTTCATTGAGGTAGCAAAGCAAAAACCTCTTAGTTCTGTGTCCATTAGTGTACTGCAAATATTTTTCTTCAGCAAATCAGTGAATTTTGCAGGAGATTTGAAAGACCTAGTAAATTAATCACAAAGTATATGTGTTCGTTGACAAGGTTGGCCATTGTGTTTACTTAGCTATAATAGTAGGAATGCCCTGTAACCTTCCTGTATTATAAGTTAAAAAACGACAAAAAAGTATTTGATGAGGGTCATGTTGGCAAGAATGACTTGATGATTTTACCAGCATTGTGACATCCTTTTAGGTCCAAAGTGACAGGACCACATGCATTACCCTAGTATGTGTTCTCAGTGGGAATTAATATTGCCCACACAGCTGGAAATTTATTCTTAAGGGAGGGATGGTGGGGGAAACCTCTTTATGTACCATATTTATAAAGATTTATTTCTCCATCATTGCCTTTGAGTTGGAATGGACACTTATAGCTGACCTTCCAGTGAATTTTTAGAGGCTGTAAGTTGCATGAGAGTTTGCTGTTACTTTACTACTGAGCATCTGGTGGATTCAAACCATCAGAGAAATGCAGCCTTTGAATTAATAGAGCAATTACCTACACAGTAGGCTACCAGAGCCATGGTGTAGGCTACCAGAGCCATGGTGTGTAAGAAGATACATGTCTGTGGTGTTACATTTGTATGGGGTGGTGAGTGATTAAGGGGGAGAAAGTCTGAAAAGATTTCTTAGGGAATAATGAGAAATACTGAGTAACACTGTCCCAGCTCTGTCGAAAACACACACAAAAATAAATGATGATATTTAGGTTAGATGATGAGATATAGGATAGAGAAAGGCTTAGGAGGTAAGGAATTATGCTGCCAACCCAAAGGCAAGCAGTTCAATCCACCACCTGCTCCACTGGGGAAAAGGATGGCAGTCTCCCTCCATGCAATCAATTGCCTCTGAAAATCTTCTGGAGGGTCAACTAGGAGTAGATTCTGCCTCAGCAGTACATAACAACAACATAGGATAGAAGAGACTGAAAAGTTTAACTTAAAAATAACTCCACTTTTCTTTTCAAAGTTGAAACATTTATCTTCAAAGTAAGGGAATAGGAGTGGTGGGGAATATGAGCTCTCTTAATGAGCAGCTGTGGGGGCCTCTCTCTTAGGAAGAGAATAAAAAATAAAGTTGCTGATATCTCTGGATGCTTTTCTCTCCTTCCCTAAATAAGAACTACTATTTTTTTTAATTCGTAGACATTTTGCTTGTACTCATAATTGCATTAGTTAATACAATTAATTGCCATGTCTCATCAAACCCTCATTGTACATTGCCTTTCTCTTCACCCAATCTATGTATTAATCTTTGCTCCCTCCACTCTTCTCATTCCTGTTCACCCTCCAAGATTGATTATGTATGTAAACCTGTCCTTACCGTTTTTCTGCAGTCATGCATGTTGTGTTCCATATTGTTGATTACAGCGCTCACAATGTCTGATCATCCATTCCCTGTTGTCCTAACCCTCACCTTTATTCCAGTTAAACATTCATTGTCTCTTTATTTTCTACTCTCTCCATCACCTAGTAACCATACTAGGTTGATTTTCTTCATATTTTTAAATTTCTGTAGTTTCTTTTTAAAAGTATATTGTCTTATCCTTTCGTGACATTTATTTCACTCAGCATAGTGTTCTCCAGAGTTATTTTGTGCCAGGTAGTGTTGTTTCTTAAAATCTTCATTGGTTTTCAGTGCTGCATTACTTCATTGTGTGACTACTGTAGTTCCTCTCTCCATTCGTTTCTTGATGGGCACTGGAGTTGTTTCCATTTCTTGCTATTGTGAATAATGCTGCAGTAAACATGGGTTTTCATATATTTGTGTTGCAGTTCTTATTGCTTTAGAGTATATTCATAACCAGTTCAAATGATTTTTCTTTTTCTGGTGTTTTAAGGAAATGTCAAACTGCCTTCTGTAGTGGTTGTACTATTTTACCTTCCCACCTATTCAGTCTTTGTGCTGAGCAAATTATCCAAGAAGCTGGACTCTTTGAGGAGGAGTGTGGCATCAGGATTGGAGGGAGACTCATCAGTAACTTGAGTTATGCAGATGATACAGTTGTGCTTGCTGAAAGTGAGGAGGGCTTGAACCACTCGTTGCGGAAGATCAAGGAACATTTCCTTCAGTATGGATTGCTTCTCAATGTCAGGAAGACAAAGATTCTTACCACTGAACCTATAGCAGTATCATGTCATGATGGATGGAGAGGAGATTGGAACTGTCAGAAGCTTCATCTTGCTTGGATACACAGTTAAGACCCTTGGTACTAGCAGTCAGGAAATATGGAGATGCATTGCAATGGGAAAATTTGCAGTTAGGGACCTTTCCAAATTATTGAGGAGCAGTGATTATCAGTTTGAGGACTAAGGTGTGTTTGATTCAGACCATAGTTTTTCCCATTACTGGCTATGAATCTGAGAGCTGGATAATGAATAAGGATGACAGAAAAAAAAATTGATGTGTTTGAGCTGTGATGTTGGAGAAGAGCACTGCACATCCATGGAAGGTCAAGAGAACAAACATGCTCTTTAGAGGCAAGAAGGATGAAGCTTCACCTCACATTCTTTGGACAAGTTGCTAAGAAGTGCTGCTATTCCTTGGAGAAGGACATGGTGCTGGGAAGGTTGGAGGGGTCAGTGAAGTAAAAGACCCTCAACCAGGTCGATTGACATGGTGACTGCTGCAGTGGGCTCTTGTGTGTCAGAAGTGTGAGGATGGTGCAGGATAGAACATTGTTCAGATCTTTTGTTCATTGGGTCACTATGAGTCATGCTCGACTTGATGGCACCTCACAACAGCAATCACCAGCAATGTATGAGAATTCCAATTTCTTTACTCCCTTCCCAGCATTTCTTGTTTGCTGAGCATTTGAACTTTGCAACAATATTGTTGCCAGGTTGAGATGATACCTCATTATTTGATTTGCATCTCTTTAATAAATAGTAATTCTGAGCATTTCTTCAGGTGTTTGTTGTCCGTCTGAATGTCTTCCTTAGAAAAGAGTCTTTTCATATCTTCTGCCCATTTTGTAATTGAGTTGCTTGCTTTTTTTCTTGTTGAGGTGCTAGAGTTTTCTATAAATGTTAAATATGAGTTCTTTGTCAGATATCTTAAGGCTCTCTTCTTTCTTGAAGAAATTTTTTGATGCACACAAAAATTTTACTTTTAGAAGGTCCCATTCATTTATTTTATCTTCTCCTGATATTTACATTTTTTGCTATGTTTGATATTTATACCATATGTTGTTGTTGTTGTTGTTGTTGTTATGTGCCATCAAGTTGCCTCATCATTATGCACTTTTAAAAACAGTTTGCTCTTTGGTTGCCATAGGAGTCATGTCATAGTCCTAAAAAGACTTGCAACTGTATTATATTTTAATCTAGATTTTATGTTGAGGGTCTTATTTAAACTCTTAATTTATTTTCATTGTTGCAGATATATTAAATTTTTATAGCTTTATTGACTCTTAATTCCTATAGAGTAAATTATATTTAAAGTGTACATTTTGGTAGTTTTGATGTGTGTGGGTAGATAGAAATATGAAACCTTCACCACAATCAATACAATGATGATATTGTCTCTTGATTTCCTTGTGACATCCTGTCATCCTTCCTTGATTGTACTGTTCCCCCGCCATCACAGGCAACCAGTGGTCTAATGGTCTGCTTTTTGCCCATATTCCCTAGTTTGCATTTTCTAGTACTAACATGTAAATGAAGCCATTGAATCTTTTATTGTCGGGCTATATTGATGTACATATCCTTTCAGTTCTAGTTCAGACATCATAAGAGATCTTCTAGAAGAAGAGGAAGCCTGGGAATCATCACATACGTGAGTTCTTTTAATCCAAAAATTAACCAAACTTTAATCTGAAACACTAATTCTGTTATCATTAATTTTTAAACAAAAGAATGTTTGCGCTGGTTTAAGAAAGTAATAATCTATAGTTAACAGAATAAAGATGAGCTAGTAAGTTGCCCATGTACCACTTGTTTCTTCCCATTTACTACCAGGGAGCTCTGGTGACCTAGTACGTAGTGAGTTATGTTGCCAGTCTAAAGACACGCGGTTCAAACCCTCCAGCTATGCAGGAGAAATAAGGGCAGTCTTCTTCTCCTGTTATTGATAGCCTCTGAAAACGCTGTGCATAGGTTCAAACGTAACGGAAATGAGACAGATACTTGTTTCTGCTTAGAAATGGGATCTCAGTATAATAACTCTAGTTCTTATCAGAACTTGTTTTTCTGAAGATAAATTGTTTTTATCAGCAATTAGTCATTTGACCTCAAGTACTGGCTCAGAATCTTTAGAAAACTTTTTAATTCCTACCTACATGCTGTTAATCATGACACTGACTTACAGTAAGATAAATGGATATCACTCCTCTCATTTCACTTCTGAGTCACTCAGGGAAATGAGAATGCCAGCATAGAGAATCTAGTCCAGATTCCACTGGGCAGTGAGGAGGTGCAGGAAAAACCCACTGAAAGATACTGTGTGCCATGGAGTGAATTTACAACTCATAGCCACCCTATGGGGCAGTAGAATCCCCCCAGGGTTTCCTGGGCTGTAAATCTTTATAGGAGCAGACAGCCACAGCTTTCTCCCAAGGATTATCTGCTACTTTCAAACTAATGACCGTTCAGTTAAAGCTGAACTCTTACTATTATACCATCAGGGCTCCTGAAAGATTACTGTTTCATAACTTTACTGCTACAGATTGTTGTTGGTAATACACCAGATTCTGTTGGCCGATTTCAGTATGCTTTTACTATGTCATACTTCAGTTGGGTCCTAACAGGACCCTGCTGGTTTTACTGTTTATAATACCAGTTGTTTGTTTCTTTTCTTTACAATGATTTCAGTCTTTTCATCACATTTCAGAAGCTGTCCTGAATGATTATATTCTGCTACAAACCTGAATTAAAGCCTTCTGACTTCAAAAAAAAAAAAAAGCTCCACTCACAGAAATATAGAAGGCACTTTGGGATTCCTTATCTTCCTAATGGCATGCCTGTTTTTATACACGTTTTGGCCTCATTCCTCCTTTTATAATAAAAGACATGTTCCCTCCTTCTATCTGAGGCAAATTATGCCTTCTATTTCATCCTTCCCCATTGGCCAAGAACTTAACTTTATACATTCTTTTTTTAATTTTACCCCTCCCCCCTTTTCTTTCTTATATGGAAAACATCTTTTCAACTTTGTCTTTCTCATGGCAGAAGCTCTGTGATAGGTGTATTTGCATCAATTAAAAAAAGTACCTCCTGTGGTCCTTAGGTACAACCAAACTACCTGATGAGATTTAGTTTCTTGATTTGGAGTTTTAGGTTCATGATTTCATAGGACTTCCTAGTTAATTGGTCTAATAATGTGATTAGTGCTTTTGTTTCATTTTGTAGTTTCAACTATGATGCATATGTAGCCCCTGAGGTCTTAAAAGCTTGCAGGCAGCCTTTCAAGACACAACTGTTGGTCTCTATTCATCTGGAAAAAATGAAAGGAGAGAAAAAAACAGGAAGAGGAAATAGAATAGAATGCATGACTCTGCCTCTAGAAACAACTACCTTCTTGCCATGAGACCAGAAGAATTAGATAGTGCCAAAGGATCATTACTAAACATTTTGATTTAAGATCTTATGGAAAAATCCTGATTAAAGGAGAAAAATGCATAACAGAATTTCAGATTTTTCTCATGGACTCTAAACTTTCTGGAGCCACAGAGCCTAGTTAAATCCCTGAAGCAATTGCTCCGAGACAAATCTTTAACCCTTAAACCAAAAATATCTCATAATGTCCTCATAAAACCAGACACTAGTTTAGCTTAACTAGTAACAAATGTCTGAATTAAGCTTTATACTCTTTTAAGAACTGAAGATCTGTATACAGGATCAAATTGACAATAGCAACTTGAAAGATAGGAACTTTAGGAAACAGTGAGTTTGTGCTAATGTGGAAGGAGCAACTGAGGAGGAGGGCAAGAATGGCTGCACAACCCAGAAAATGGAATCAGTTGTCTAAAATTTTATTTTTTCCCCCCTGTGTATATTTTCAGCTGCAACTATATCTATCTATCTATCTATCTATCTATCTATCTATCTATCTATCTATCTATCTAAAGTTAGTTGTAATTCTTAGGGCAACCAATATGAAATAAAAGTTTTTAAAATATTATAAAACAAATAATAAGGATATTAAAATAACTAGAAAAATACCTACTTAGCACAAAGGAAGAGAGTGATGGAAATATGAAAGAACAAAAAAAAAAACAAACAGGAAAATAGCACATAAGTTTAAAATCTATATTTATAAGGACAACAGATGAATTAGACACCCCAATTAACAGACACAGCTTGCAAAGTGAATAAAAATACATGGTTGAAACTATATGCTGTTTATACAAGACAGATTTTTGTTTCAAAGACAAACAAATTGAAAGTAAAAATTATTAAAAAGATAGGACATACAAACAGTAACTAAAACTGAGCTGTACTCCTATCAAGCAAAATAGATTTTAAGACAAGAATTGTTATCATGAAAAAGAACAGTATTTTTTTCTATGATTAACGAGAATATATCCATTCAAGAAGATAAAACAATTATAAATACGCATGCACCGGAAAACAAGTCGACGACTCATTGCAGTAGAGGTGGAACCAGCTCACAGATAGCTGACTCTCCAGCTGGTTTTCAGAAGCTGTCGATCATATAGGAGATTGTCCATGTTTCTCCAGCGGAGCAGCTGGTGAATTTGAGCCACACACCTTTAAGTTGGCAGTGCCTCTCACTACCCATAGGTCACCAAAGCTCATTGCTCCTGACCAAAACTTGTAACTCACTGACTCATTGTGTCAGAACTCACTCACAGGTTTTCAGAGGCTGTGAAAAGAGCTATAAAATCTTACATTTTGTTGTTAGTTGTGATAGCCATCTCGTCTATTCTTTTATAACCCAGCACTTCTCTTCTGACATTAAATCATGATTTTCTATTCTGAATTTGAGAACTTGTTTTTTTTTAAATCAAGTACAAGTGCTTTCTTATATTATTTTTCCCTAGATTTCTCTTGCTCAGATTTTGTGCATGTATCCAGCTTATATAAAAAATACTTTATACTAGTTCTATTCATATGTAGCCTATCCGTTTTCCCTTCTGATTTGATACGGCTCACTAAAGAGAACAGAAAACAACATCTGGTAACAAAAATGGAGATCCACTCCTCTAAAGATGCTTTTATCAAGAGATCAAGCTCCAGAACCTCAGACTTAACAGTCAAGTCAGAACCAACTTATAGGTCACCTTCCATGGGGTTTCCAAGCCTGTAAATCCCATGGGAGAAGATTGCCTCTCTCTTTTTTTTTAACCCCCACAGAGCTACTGGTGGATTTGAACCACATAAGCGTCATGGATAGAGAAAGAAAGAGTTTTATCCCAAGAAAGGCTTGCTTTGTTTGTTTGATGATATTATTTTCTAAATAGTAAGTACTGATGAAATCAGCAAAAATGATTTCTGGGTGTTATGGAAGATAAGTGTCATGCATTTATCAAATTCCTAATATGTGCTACCCACTGAATTAGGTAGCTCACGTTCATTTTGTTATTCATTCTGATGATAACTGGAATAGGAAAAGAATTCTGGTCTTTTTGCCTTATGAATAATTCAAGCCCAGAAATGTTGAGAGTTCTCTAAATGTCACATGTAGTTCATTGCTAAAGCTCACACTTGAATCACTAAAGTCCAAATCCAGTACTCCGCCGCCATGCCATACCTGTATGAATTAAGAGTTACACACAAATATGTTGTCTGATGAGTTCTTCAACAACTTACATAATAAAGAGTTAGACTCCATTTTTTGGTTGTTGTTTGCTGGTAGCTCATGAGCCTCAGGTCTTGACCTGATGATAAGAAAGGCCAGTGCTCCTTTGTCATTGGTAGGAAGTTCAACTTGGGCAAGACTCTGTCCATGCGTGGGATCCCTCCCATGGCTGCTATGTGCCATAAAAACCCTAAAAAAGTCTTCTTGGACTCTCAGTCGATTTTAAACCATTTTGGGAAGCCTGTCCCCTTCTCCCAATAAAGTTTTGCTATGTGAGTGATAAATGTTTTCATACCTTCTTGGTGTGCATCCTGCCATTGATTTTGACAGCCAAAACAACTTTTGTGTAGTAGATCAATCCTATCTTTATGGAGTGGCCAAAGCACAGCCTGACTTAGCTATCTTTTATTGCTTTGTGTATGTTTTCCAATAAAACATCAATATGTTTCCTTAAGCAAATTTATGGGACCAATTTCTGTGTAATGTAGCTGGTATTACTGTTTGTTTTAAAAAGAAAGCTAAACTTCCTTTATGACCTTTGATAGAAAAAAAAATCCAAATTACAGAGGGAAAAATAAAAGAGTACAGTGTAATAGGTGAGTGTGTGTGTGGGGTGGGGGGCTGTATAAAATACCTTCCTAGACTTGTGGTTTGTTTTGAAATAAGCATGGTCACCGGTACAGTGGTTAGTGTTTGACCGAAAAGTCAAGCTCAGCAGCTGCTTTCTGGGAAGAAGATGTGGCAGTCTGCTGTTGTAAAGATTATAGCCTTAGAAACTTTTTAGGGTAATTCTACTCTGTCCTATATGGTTGTTGTGAATCAGAATTTACTAGATGGCAGTGGTTTGGATTTGTGATCAGTTAAAATCACCTATTTAGGTGTTCGACTCCATGAGAGTTGTTTTATGTGTTTTTTTAAAAATAATTTTAATGAGCATTTACAGAGATTTTGGATTTCCATTCATTCATTGCTGCACTTCTCTCCCTGCCCAGCCCTCCCCCTCCCCACCGAGTTCGCTCCTCTCTTTCAAAAGTAAAAGAAACACTCCCTCCCTGGAACACAATCCCCCTACATCCCTCCCGCTGCCCCAAGTACATTCCACTATGCAACCTTAATTGTGGATTCTTGTGATAGCCATAATACCCTATCATACATCGCTTTTAAATTATTCACTCCCTCATCTGTTTCAGTGCAGTATACACAATTTATCCAGTTTTTGTCAGTCTTCCCCAACCCTGATATCAGTCCCATTTTACAACAGGGGCACCATGCAATATTTGTCCTTTTGCGACTGAGATATTTCACTCAGCATAATGTCCTCCAGGGTCACCCACTTTGAATAATATTGCATGAGTTCCTTGTTTTTCAATGCAGCATAGTATTCCATTGTGTGAATATACCACAGCTTCTCTATCCATTCGTTTGTTGATGGGCACCTGGGTTGTTTCCAACTCCTTGCTATTGTGAACAGAGCTGTGATAAACACGGGTGTGCATATATCTGCTTGGATGTCAGTTATGGTCTCTTTTGGGGTATGTTCCCAGTAGTGGAGTTGCTGGGTCGAATGGTATCTCTATTTGCAACTTTTTGAGAAAGCGGAGAGTTGTTTTATTTTTTATTAAAAAAATCCCCACTGTCTCCACCCTCATCCTCCCCAGCCTTGGTAACCACTAATCTTTGGTCTTATAATTTTATGTAAAAGATCACACAATATGTGTCCTTTGTGTCTGGCTTATTTCCGTAATATAATATTTTCAAAGTTCGTCTGTGTGGTGACATGTTTCAGAATTTCATTTCTCTTCAGAAATGAAGAATAAATACTTCAAAATGCATTTATACCACATTTCATTAATCCATACATCTGTTGATGGGACTTTGTTTCCATCTTTTTATTATAGTAAATAATGCCACAGCAAACATTGCTGTATATGTTCTGTTTTATTTACTGCTTTTAGTTCTTCGGGATATGTAGTCATGAGTGCAATTATTGGTTCATGTAGTAAATTCTAGGTTTAATTTTTAAGGAATTTCCTACGTTGTTTTCCATACCCACTGCACCATTTTGTATTTCCACCAGCAATGCACAAGAGTTCCAGACACAGCTCTGATTGTTAATAATAAACTGTCCTTCCCTCTCTCCAGGAATCTTTTGTCTTCTGCTGGTATCCATGAGAGTGTTGTAGGCTAAAACTCTTGAGCTTGCACATAGGGTAAAAGTGGTCACAATTTTGAATTTATTTATATTGTATCTGCTCATAGGCAGGATAAATTTATGGTTTTGTTACTCGGTTAATGATCATTGATATATTTGAGTTCATGCTTAAGAAATTCATTAAAATGTTAGTGGATTTTACCCTCCCTAAGCTAGGTGTATGACAACTACTTCTTTCTCACGTGCTTTGCCAAAAGTCAGACTTCATGTATGCTCTCTCTCCTTTATGTGGCTCATCTTCCTTTGAGATTTTGTTTTCCAAGGTTGCATTGCAACCTCAGCTCTGACACTCAAGAAAGAGTATAGTGTTGTTAGATCATTATAGCTTGTTCCTGTTTTTAGGATGAGAGCAATGTGTGTGTGTGTGTGTGTGTGTGTGTGTGTGTATATATATATATAATATGTTAAGCAGACATGTAAAACTGCTAAAATTTGAGTCAGAAGAACAATCAAGTTCTTGACCAGTTCTCATTGTCATCTTTCCTAATTCACTGTTTTCCCATTTATAAAATTGGAACAATAATAAAAATAATAAGTTTGTCAGTGGAGCACCCAACACAATTCATTACCATCTAGTTGGAACCAACTCATAGTTGAGCCTCCAGTGAGCTTCCGAGGCTATAAAGCACCTGGGAAGAGACTTTCTGTTTTTCTCCCAAGGAGCCACTGGTAGATTTGAACCTCCAGAGAGACTCAGCCTTTGGGATAGCAGCACAACTCCCTGCAGACTGCTCTCTCTAAACGATAAAATAATTTTTGTGAAAGCACCAGTCATGACTTTCTAAGATGCTCCTTCTCTTCTTCTGTTTTCAGCCACGATTGTCAAGACACAGAAGAAATTCCAAGATTGGCCCGCCGCAAAAGAGCAGCTGAAAGTACTGCAGTTGAACCAAGAAGTAAACATAACAAGAATTAGTGTACTCTTTGCTGACTCCCACTCCAGATATTTCTGTTCCCATGTAGATGTTATATTTTTAAATGTCCAAGGGAAGATCTTAAATTCTCAGTATCATGGTTAACTGATCTTTATTTTTTGTTGCCTTTTCAGATTTGATGACCTCTTTAGTAAAGGACTTTTTTTTCTTATGCTTAAATTTCAGAATGTAAGAATATTCATCTCTTCTATGGAGGAACTAACCTCAGAAAAAAGAGATTTTTTTTTCAGCCCCACCACAAGGGGCAGTTAAGTGCTTCTGTCTTTTTGGAAAGGCAAGCTGTCATCATTTACAGCCTTGGTGTGTACAAGCTCTTAGTGACATAATTGTGGTTGCCCAAATTTTATGGAGTAGTTGGTAGTTGCTTAGACATGTGTTTACACATACTTAGGATAAGATGTTAGGATTTCAGTTTAAAGTTACAATAACTTTTGAAACATTGGGCATATTTTTTCTGAAAGAATTTTATGATTACTATCAGGTTTCTTTTCCCCTTTGAGGTCAATATTTTAACACTTTTAACTCTGGCTATTAAATAAATGGTTTACTAAAAGTAAGTTCTCTTATTTTATTACTTTACAATGTCTTTGAAACAGCATCTTGTGAATAGTTGAATATAAACTACATGGCATTGGAAGGAGTTTATCAAAATTGCTACTTGTATGCAAAAGGGAGCTCTGGTGTAATAATCCATAGGGTGTTGTACTGCTAACCCAGAGGGCCCCCTGCCTATTCAAATCCATTTGCAGCATTGCAGGGGAAATATGGGCAGTCACCCCCTCCATGCTATTTGCAGCCTCGGGAAACCTGCTACGAGATTCAGCTATGAATCTGTTCCAACTGGGCAGCAGTTGAATTTTCACTTTTAAATAATGTAAAATACTTCCTTTCAGATTCATAACACTTCTCTTGCATCTCAAAACTAGTCCTCCCCAATCCTACTCCACCTACATCAGCTTCTAAATAACATCATACCAAAATGCTGGCAGTGTTAAGAAGAAAGTTATCAATGTGCTGGGCATGTTTGTGACTTATTTCCAGAAATTGTCTTCATTGACTTCGGCTTTTCATTACACTTTGGGGGGGGTGGAGGGGAGGAGAGGAGAGTGAGGCGGAAGTTGATAATTTTTTAATATGATCCAAAAGAACAAGGTTGGTTTTGCCAAATATTATCCTCAGCTATGCCCTCTTTTTTTTGCCAGTTGGCATATTAATAATTTTAAATAATTGCTATAGTTGGGAAAAGGCTGTTCCAGATCCCTCTCCCAGAAATGTTGTCACTGCACATGATGCTGTCCACTTTCCAAGGGGACATCAGTCTAGGGTCCACTCTGTAGTTACTGTTGTTGTTGTGTGCCATTGAGTTGGAACCTACTCATAGTTTACCCTTCAGCAGGTTTCCAGAGTGAAACATGTGCCTTCAGGATTACACACAACTAGTTACCACTAGGCCACCAGAGCTCTCTAGTGCCTTACAACTAGGATTGTGTGTGTGTGTGTGTGGTGGTGGGGGTGGTGATGTTATTGGGTGCTGTTATGTCAAGTATGGCCCATAGTGACCCTGTGCACAACAAATCTAAACCCTTTCCTATTCTGTGCCATCCTTCATACCTCTTGACAGACTAGAGCCAGCAGTCTCTGTGTCAACCATTGACATAGCTGGGTGGAGGGATGAATAAATAGATGATAGATAGATAGATAGATGATAGATAGATAGATAGATAGATAGATAGATAGATAGATAGATAGATAGAATGAATAGATATTGATTGATTGTTTGGTTGATTGATATTCTCTTCCTGTGCAATTTACTGCCTCTAAAACCTCTTGGGGAGTCAACTGTAAATTGGTTTTGACTCATTGGGTTCACACACAACAACCATATATGTGGTGGTAGGTGATATTGAGTCCACCACGTAGGGATAACAAACCTATGAACCTTGCCTCATGCTGTACCATCTCACCATTTCTGATATGCTCAAGCTCATTGTTATGGTTGCTGTGTCAGTTCACCCTGTTGAGGGTCTCCCTGTCTTTCTCCAACTCTTCACCTTTACCAGAAATTGATGGAATACCAGTTGAAGTGTTTCAGGACACAGGTACCACCCTGGACATGCTTACACATTTGGAAGACAGCTACTTGACCATGTGACTGGAAGAGATCCATATTTGTTCTCATTCCTAAAAAAGCTGATTTAACAGACTGGACATTACTGAACAATATAAATTATATTGTTGTTGTTGTTATGTGCCATCGAGTCGCTTGCGACTCATAGTGACCCTATGTACAAGTGTTCTAACCGCCATTTTATCCTGTGCCAATCTAGCCATCTCAAACACACTCATTCCCACCACTCCAGTCACAGAATCGATCCATCTCATCAGAGGTCTTCCTCTCATTCACTGCCCCTCCACTCTGCCAAACATGATGTCCCTCTCTAAGGACCAGGCCCTCCTTGCAACATACCCAAAGTATATCAGATGAAGCTTCAGAATCCTTGACTCCAACAAGCATTCCAGCTTCACCCTCTCCAGGACAAACCTGTTTGTTCTCCTAGCAGTCCATGGTATATTCAAGACTCTTCTCTAGTACCACGTAAGTAATATATTCCTAAAGATATTTCAAAGTAAGCTAAAATAACACATCATTAGGGAACTGTCAGACATTCAGGCAGGATCCAGAAGAGGCCATGGGAGGAACCCAATATTCCTGATGTCAGATGGATCTTGGCTGAAAATAGAAAATACCAGAAAGTTCTTTGTGTTTTGTTGACAATGCAGAGGCATTTGTCTATGTGGAACATAATAAATTATGGCTAACAATGAGAAGAATGGAAATCCCAGAACATGTTTGTATTCATGAAAACCTGTATAAGTTGTCCAAAAGAATAAGGGAATATGGCATGATTTAAAATCAGGAAGGGTGAGAGCCAGGGTCATATCCTTTCTCAATACCCATTCAATCTGTATGCTGAGCAAAACATTCAAGAAGGTGGAGTATATGAAAAGAACATAGCATCAGATTTGGAAGAAGACTCTCCAACATGTGTATTGTGTAGATGACACAACCTTGCCTACAGAAAGTGAAGAGGACTTGAATCACTTGCTTTAGAAGATCAAAGCTACAGTACCGGCCATTAATAAGTCAAAAGGCATGTTGCATTGAGAAAATCTGTCAAGGACCTCAAGCGCTAAAGAGCAAAGATAGCAGTTTAAAACTCTAGTATACCTGATCTAAACCATAGTCTTAATTTACATAAGCATCTGAAATTTAAACAGTGATTAAGATGACAGAAGACAGTGTCTTTGAGTTTTGTTGGAGAAGAGAACTTTTGGACTGTCCAAAGAACAACCAAGAGTGATTTAGAGAATGTGCAGCCAGGGTGCTTGTTAAGAGAAAAGGACAGTGAAACTTCATCTTACCAAATTTGGGCATATTGTCAGAAGGGGACATTCATGAGAAAAGGACGTCAAACAGGTCAGAGAAAGAGGAAAACCCTCATAAAGATGATTAGACCCAGTTTCTAACAATGGGTCAAGCGTACCACAGATGGTGGTCTCTTACTGGTAGTTGACTTGATGGCATATCACAACAAAGAATTACTTGACCACTGATTGAGGTGTTTCAAAGATGAAGCTCACTCATTATTCTTTGCCAAGAAGTTTGGAAGACAGCTGTCTAGCCAACTAACTGGAAAAGGTACATTTTTAATTTTTTCTGATTCTAAGTGTTGGGGGCTTGGGAGAATGGGCACATGACTCAACAGAATGCAGAATTTATTGAACCATGTTAATACCACACAGCAAAAGTAACATTTGCTGAATGTTATTCAGATATGGTTGGCACATACCACTGAAAGAGAACTGCCAGAAAAGCTAGTCCAAAAAGATCATGGAACAAGTGTATCATTACTGGTCTCAAATGGATTTGACTGATAACGGGATTTGATTGTTGTTGTGTACCATCAAGTCAGAACCGACCCATAGCTGACCCTTCAAAGAGTTTTCAGAAGCAGTAAATGACACAGGAAGGAATTGCCCATCTTTCCCTGTTGAGTGGCTGGTAGTTGAACTGTGGAAATTCTATGAACTTGAAGAAATGATGATTGTTATAGAAAGGCATCAGGTCTTTTGTTCATAGACTTGCTATGAGTCGTACTTGACTCGATGGCAATCAACAACAGCAACCTTTAGGTTGGCAGCACAATCCTTTGCCACTAAGCCACCAGAGCTTCCTGATAAGACAATAGATGTTTGTCTTTTGTTGACTATGTAAAAACATTCAACTGTGGAATCTAATAAATTATGGATAACATTAAGAAGAATGAGAAACCTAGAACATGTAATTGTATCGTGTTCATGCAGAACGTGTAGCTGGGCCAGAAGCAACCAGTTGAACAGAAAAAGGGTTCTTCCTTTTAAATTAGGAATAGGGTGGGTAAAGATTTTGTCCCTTACCATACCTATTCAATGTTGTTGTTATGTACTGTTGAGCTGGAACCAGCTCATAACTGATCTTCTCTTGGGTGTTCAGAGGGCAAAATAAATTGCCTGGGAGGAGATTGCTTCATCTTTCTCCTGTAGAGAAGCTGATGGACTCAAATTGCCAACCTTTGGGTTGACAGTGTATTTCCTTGCCACTAAGCCATTAGAGGGATCTCTGGTGGTAAAAAGCTGCAGTGCCATCCTAAAGGCTTGTGGTTTGAATCCAGCAGCTGCTCCGTGGGAGAAAGATGGGCAATCTCCCCGGTGTGATTAACTTCCTCTGAGAATCCACTGGAGGGTTAGGTATGTGTTGGTTCCAAATTGACAGTACACAACAACCACAACAAAGCCACTAGAGGTTTAACTCAAAACTCATTGTCGTCAACTAAACTAACTCAGAGCTGACCTGTGTTAAAGTTCTGAGGCTATAATCACAGAAAAGGACATTGTTCATCTTTCTCCCTCGGAGCTGCTGGTGCAGTCAAACCACCAGACA